GTCACTAACTTTTTCATTTTCAATTTCTATGTAAGGTCTTGGTTGAGATGAAAAAGAATATTTAATTGAAAGAAGTAAATTGGTCAATAGTCCACTAAATATTGGGTTGTCCGGAAAATAATGCAGGATTTTGGTATTAAACAAAAAAAAAGAAACTAGTTACTTTAAAGCAATGTTCTTTAATCAAAATAATNAATGAGTAATCCTGTAAACGTAAACAGAATATTTTATATAGATTTTTTTTAATGAAAACTTAAAATCCTGCATTATTTTCCGGACAACCCAATATAATGGATTTAGTGATAACATTGAAGTAACTCCATTGATCCACATGAAACTTACAAGGGTTTAGAACTTTATTAAAAATTCGTAATGCCATAAACCTGGATTAATGTAAACACATCAGAACCGGAGATTTAATAATAATAAATGTTTGTGAAGTTTTTGTTGATTTCAATCTTTTTTCTCTCAATTATGTAGGGATAAAGTCTAAATATTATTAGTGTAGGTTAAAACAAGAAATATTCAGCTTTCCAAAGTTTGTAATACCCTTGAATGTGGATAAAATCCAGTAGAATTATGAATTTTTAAATGGAACAATGGAAATCTGAAGAAAATAATTCCCCTGGCTGATCGGGCACAAATGTCTGTTTGTGATAACCAAACACTATTGTCTTTTTTCTCAAATATTTTGCTATTCAAACAGTTCCGACTGTTTTTTTTTAAATCACTAAGTTTTTGATAACAAGAGAAACGGCAAAAATTAAAATTTTAATGGCTCGGGGGTTTTTGAAAAACGCACAAATGTAAAAATTATATAGTAGAGAACAAAATTAAATTCAACCTGTAGTATGAGGTTCATATGCATTGAAATACAGTGGACGTCGCTTATAAGACTCAAGGATATAAGGTTCAGTCGCGTATAAAGCCTATGAAGATCACACTTAATCCAGAAACACACTTACTCGATGCTATGCCACGCTAACTACCCGACGCTCTGCGATCCCCACTGCCCAGATTTTCGTCGAGAAGCATCGAGTACAGTCAAAGACAACAGAACCGGACACTCATATTTTTATTCAAACTACATGTATTATTGTCGTTATATTAATTACAACATACTTATTTTAATATTAACCAAATTAACTGTGATTAAAAATTAATTAGTTTTTATTTAAAAAATTAATTTTAATGGTTTGGTAGAAAATTAATCAAAACACCGGAATACGATTTTTTGATATAATGAATTTAACTAACAATTTATTGTACTCGCTTCGGCGGTACATATACTAAAATTGGAACAATTTATTACACGGTTTTGCTCATAAAATTTAATTAACAATTTATTTCATAGTTTTGCTCGTAAAATTACACCATTTTGTAATGTCGGGTAGCATCAGAACAGGACACTTATATTGTTTGTAGTTTATTTCAAACTAAGTACATGTAATTTTGTCGTTATATTAATTACATGTCATTTTAATGTAAACCAAATTAAACATTGTTTAATTATGACGGTTAGGAGTAACTTTATTTAAAACAATTAAGTTTAACAAACAATTTATTAGATGGTTGTGCTCATAAAATTTAACAAACAATTTATTACATGGTTTTGCTCAAAATAGTGCATTAAGAATGTCGCATAGATGTGCACACCCCACCAAAATGTGGCAAGGCGTCGGGTAGCATCGGGTAGCGTCGCATCGGGTAAAGCCAGAAACACTTACCCGATGCTACGCCATGCGACGCTACCCGACGCTCTGCGATCCCCACTGCCCAGATTTTCGTAGGGTCGCATCGAGTACAGTCGAAGACAAAAGAACCGGACACTCGTATTTTTATTCAAACTACATGTATTATTATCGTTATATTAATGACAACATACTTATTTCAATATAAACCAAATTAACCGAGATCAAAAATTCATTAGTTTTTATTAAATTTTTTTTAATGTTTTGGTAGAAAATTGATCAATTGATTGATTGAGACGCCAGAAGACCTTACTGTGAGGAACTACGAGGATTGGTTGGATATCGACCAGAATCATCAAACCTCTAAAGCGTATCCTAAGGACCAAATCTGCCAGTGCCATGAACGAAGCCAGCAGCACCACGGGACCAATTTTCAAAACCACTACGATTATGAAAAGTATATTATTGATATGAGTGAAACTAACAAAAAACAAACAAAACTAACAAATTTCTTTTAATCATCTTAAATTTTGAATTGATTATGTATGCACGTATTTTATAGGTAAATGAAACGCTATGTCTTATGTTTTGACATGAAAAATAAAGTTTGTGTATTACATACATTCTAAAATCTTGTTTCCTTCGCTTATTAGGATCATCAGGTTTGAAAGGTTTTATTAAATTCATCATTTATTTAATTTATAATTACATAAAAAATAAAAATTATTAACAAAACAAGAAACATACAGCTTTGGGCTACTAACATTCGTTTTTGACATAGCATCGGCGAGAAAAAAAATGTCCTCCAGATTAAACAAACCTAAACATGGCTATTTTTAGTCTGTTATAAAATTTTTAGTAGGTATACTAATGGATACTAGTAAGTTTAATTGCGTGCCCAAGCAAATACCCACATGAGTGACGAATAATCTCTAAGCCTTCAAAATCTTTACCAGTAATAATTGCTAGTTGAGCATCATGATTAATCACATCACCCGCATCAACAAGCTCACCATTAACACGACCGGCAATACAGGCCTTTGCAAGGCCTGAACTAATATCATTACCTATATCCATAACTGAAATGGCATGCTGATATTGACGTTGACTTCCTGATGGAAGTCAACGTCATTATCAGTAACTGGCGTTTAAAAACCTTATTTACAGTGTTGACCCATACGCAAGATCACAGTACTAGTACTAGTTGATGGTTAAGTTTTGAAGCTGTTATGAATTTTTGAACGAACGGAACACCAGACATCCGAGGAAAAATTTCTGCGGCCAATTTATTTTTGGTTGTACGAAATCACGTCAAACTCCTTAAACCAATCACAAATTTATTTCAACATTTTAACTGGTGGCAAATAAACAATGCCATCAAATAATTAACGGGATGTAGTCCATTAAAGCGCGATGGCGGTCCACAATTAAAAACTTTAAGAAATTAACGTTTGTCAAACAAAACGCAAATAAAAATTTATTTATAAACCGTTGAGGCTTTTGAACAATCCCCAAAAAATAGTCTGCAGTTGGTAAACGTGGATTGAAATTCGCACCAGGCTTAATTTCTCGGTGGCACATTCAGGACGCCCTGCCAGTCGATCTTATTTGAGGAAATTATTCCGAAATTTTTCTATCAATACCATGAGCAAGGAATTGACTATTTTTCTTACATTTTTTTTAACGAGGGTCCGCAACAGCAGAGGTCATATAACTCGATATTCCTCAAGGTAATTGGGGATAAATCTTGCCATTCACGCTAATAAATGACATTCACCCTATCCCAGTGTACTACTCGATATTCCTCTCATTAATTAGAAATCCTGCCATTCACGCTTATAAATTCTATTCTCACTATCCCAGAGTACTCTCTATTCCTCGGGGTAATTATAAATTATTGCATTCACACTACCCTAGAGTATTCCATTTTTTTTGTTTTTACGAGGGTTCGCAACAGGAGAGGTTATTTAAGGTTATATTACCTCGGGGTGCCGGTGTTTTTGAATAAAAGCCCATTTGTAAGTATGTAGGTTTACCGGGCCGCTGGATTCGAACCCAGGACCTTTACCTTACAGTGATGAGCGCCGTGTCACCGCCTAAACCGTTGCGGCCACCGACGCCACAACAGGAATTTACTATTAATTAAAATTATAAATAAATTAATTGGTGTTCGGTAGAAAATTTCGTTGTTTTTTTCATCGGAAAAACTGTGTTTGGAAAAGGCTTTTTGCGAATAACTTGAGACCGGTTCCTGCAAATTAAAAACCGTTTGCACCATTGATCTTAATGTCAAAATTCCTTTAAAAATGTTCCTTGAAGAATATCTTGTCATTTAAAATAGTTAAATTTCTATTTGTATCCCGTTATTCAGGAGAGCTAGTTGAATACATTTTGGCTCATGAGAAACTACAAAAAATAAATGGTTTTGTTTTATTTCAACCTTATTTTCTCACTTATATTGACATCAAATCTAAATATTTTTGATATTATCTAAAAGAAGAAACATTAATCTTTCTAAAGTTGTAATATCGTGGACATTGAGTACAATTCAGAGGGGTTATAAATTTTTAAATGGAACAATGGACATAGGAAAAAATCGTTCCTTGAGAATTCAGCTCAAGAAATATATCTTGTTTACTAGAATCTTTTTTGATTTGTAACTTTTTACATATTTAATACGATCGTTTTCTTTCAATACCATGAGCAAGGAATTTACTATTTTTCTTATATTTTTTTACGAGGGTTCGCAACAGCAGATTTCATATAAACCCTCAAGATGCCGGCGTTTTTGAAAAATAGGAAAAAAAACAGGAAAAAAATTGCTACTTGAAAATTCAGCCCAAGATTTTATATTTTTTGGTTATCAAAGTTCGTATTTAAAAGCTTGCACTGGTATTTACAACTAATCCGATTTTTTTCTAAACATTTCTTGTTTACTAGAATCTTTTTTGATTTGTAACTTTTTACAACTTTAATACGATCGTTTTCTTTCAATACCGTGAGCAAAGAATTTACTATTTTCCTTAATTTTTTTTACGAGTGTTCGCAACAGCAGAGGTTATATAAAACCTCAAGGTGCCGGTATTTTTGAAAAAAAAAACGAACAAACAGGAAAAAATCGCTCCTTGAAAATTCAGCCCAAGTTTATATGCTTTTTGGCTATCAAAGTTCATATTATTTAATACGATCGTGCTATATACTATATATTACTATATCCTATGTAAAAAAAAAAAAAAACAGCAGTTGATAAACTAATCAGAAATAAAACAACAAACAAACAAGAAGTAAGGATACAAGTAAAAAACCAGCAAATTTTTTAAATTTTTTTATTAAACATGACTCCTTTTCATTAATAAATACCCTAAAATAGTAACAATCAAAATAACTGGTTATAAATATCTGTTTCGAGAAAATGATAACGCTCAATTTTTCAGGTATCGGTAGAGTTAGATCACTGATGACTGATACCTGTAAAGGACGGAGTAGCTTTTGAAACTACCCAAATTCTCTATATCAACTATTATTTACATTACTGACCAAAATGTCCGCTAACTATCTATATCTAAAAGCTACGATTGTGACTGAAAATTAAACTTCAGCTTGTTGAATACTATTTGTTTAAAAAAAAATGGATTAAAGTTAATTAATTTATTGATGTGTGTATATTTTGTCCATTTTTTGATTTTGTGTTGTGTATATGTGTTATATATGTTTAATACGATCTTGTATAGGGAATCTGTTAACAAAAGAAACCGATAAACGTTCACAAAATAACAGTATTTTAGGGGTTAATATCGAAACGAAAAGATAAATAAAGCAAAACGTTTTATCTTTGAAGTGTTTGATGATGTGGAATGTAGTTTTTGTTTTTGTTTGTTTTTCCAGGATTTCGTGAAAAGACAAACGAAAACGTTTTATCACTATTAGACCATCAAGTATATCTGAAATAAAACATTTAACTTCTGTTCGACCATCCTTTTAAATTTCCCTATGACCTACGGACTATAAAAACCTGCCGATGATTATATACTCACTAAAATCGTATTAAATATTTTACATAATTTATCGTACAGAAAATTTGTACAATACATCGAGATGAAAAATCGTGAATAATTTCTCTGGACACAAACCGAAATGGGCGGCATGCGCCGAATTGGACGGCAAATCTTGACCAAACTCATTGTAATAACAATTTTTTTTCTTCCAACTTAGGTTAATAAAAAAGTTGTAAAAATAGTACGAAAACAATAAGGTAATGGCTGATGAAACGAAGACTTCCTCGGCCGCAAGTGGTCGAGGTGAAATTGTTGCAATGCGCCTGAAACAAAAACAAAAAAAAACATTAAAAATTAAACTACAGCATTTTTTTACACAGGTTAAAGCTAGTAGCAGGAGATTCTAAGCATTAAAAGGATCTTATGATTCTTCCTTCTTGAAGGTGGGATAATAAAAATATTTGTTCTGTGTACAGGCGTTAACTCATCTGAGGAAGGATTAAAATAAATCCGAAACGTTGTGGATAAAAACTGGTTGTGGTTTTTTGAGATGACCTATTATCCCACCTTCAAGAAGGAAGAATCATAAGATTAAAAGGATCTCAAATAATTTTTTGAAAGTTGCAAATGAAGTTTTCGGGTCTATTTCGTCTTGAAGGATTTGCAACTTGTCGTCAACCTACTTTTTCAAGAAGCTCGACTTTTATGTATATTTTGTGACAAAAATTAACTAAAATATTATTTATCTACTCCCTACTTTAGGAAGAATGGATGTATAACGGTTTTAAGTAGTAAATTGAAGAGTTGTATTTTTTCACTTTTAGTACACTTTTTTTCAAATCTAAATCTTTATTTAAACAATTCCTTCTTCATGTTGCAGAGTCAGACAATAATAGACAACAATCGTAGTAGGAGAGGTTTTACCGTAAAATAACACTTAGGGGCAGAGATATTAATTGTTTTGTATAAGAAAAGTTATAAAATTTTATCAAACTATACGTTTTTTTACAAAAAGTAACGAATCCTTTATTTTTAAGACGGATAAAGCGGGAACACAATTACCCGATGCAACGCTATGCGGCGCTACCTGATGCAAATCCAAAGTCCAATTTACCATAAGACTGAATTATCCCCGTGCATATCTGCCCGATGATATGTTACGCTACCCTACTCTACGCTCTGCGATCCCCACTGTCCAGGTTTTCGTCGGGTAGCATCGAGTACAGTCGAAGACAAAAGAACCGGACACTCATATTTTTATTTCAAACTACATGTATTATTGTCGTTATATTAATTACAACATACTTATTTTAATATAAACCAAATTAACCGAGAGCAAAAATTCATTATTTTTATTTTTAAACAAATTAATTTTAATGGTTTGGTAGAAAATTGATCAAAACTCCAGAATACCATTTTTTGATATAATGAATCTAACCAACAATTGATTACACGGTCGTGCTCATAAAACTTAACTAACAATTCATTTCATGGTTTTGTTCATAAAATTACATCATTTTCGTCGAGTAGCATCAGAACAGGACAATCATATTTTTTGTAGTTTATTTCAAACTATGTGTATTTAATTTTGTCGTTATATTAATTACAACATTCTTATTTTAATACAAACCAAATTAAACGAGATCAAAAATTCACGAGTTTTTACAAAAAATATTAACTTATGATGGTTAGGCAGAAAATTTATCAAAACACACAAAACAACCACTTTATTTAAAACAATTAAATTTAACAAACAATTTATTACATGGTCGTGCTCATAAAATTTAACTAACAAATTATTTCATGGTTTTGCTCACAAAATTACATCATTTTGGTCGAGTAGCGTCAGAACAGGACACTCATATTTTTTGTAGTTTATTTCAAACTATGTATATGTAATTTTGTCCTTTTTTTATTTTTTTTTTTATTGGCCTTATGATCTTTGCATATTAGCCATGACGAATTCTTATATATGTTGTTCAAATTGGGGGTTATCGGGAGTCTCTCATGCTAACCACTCGGCTACCGCGGTCCCCCAAATTTTGTCGTTATATTTAAAAAATATTTAATTATGATGGTTAGGCAGAAAATTTATCAAAACACCGCAATAACTTTCTTTAAAACAATTAAATTTAACTAACAATTTATTACATGGTTTTGCTAAAAATAATGCATTAAGAACAAAAGAGGCGTTGTGATTGTGATACTGATTTGTGATGCACGCTTTGTGACTGTACCTGGCATGCGCTTGGCGTCGCATAGATGTGCACACCCTACCAAAACGTGACAAGGTCGCATAGCGTCGTAGCATCGGGTTCCCTGCTTAAGACCGAGGTCTGACCACGGACTTCCAACAGCCGGGATGGGTGATTCTCAAGGCCTATTTGGCGGTAACAATTTATTGTAAATTACAAAAGCTGCCAGTGAAGTGCAAGTAGTGATAGGCTCAACTCTGGACATGTGTGATTTATGTACATACATGTGTCCAATCCAAATCTTATTATAAAATATTTTAAAAAAAAAGTTTTAATTGCGCAGTTTTGTTTTTAACTCCTTTCCCCTAATATAAAAAGACCAATAAAAACAAAGAGTTTTGTTTAAAAGCAAATCCATAATTTATGGATTGGGACACGGATAATATACAGATGCGTTGGCATGGCCTTATTACTGTGTTTAAAAGTAATTCCGTCGCCCATATTCCAATATTCGTGTCGCTCCCGCACAAAATACTGTTTTATATATAAATCGTGCAACAGTTCCTAATAAAAGAGCGACGGGGCGGCTAGGAGGGGGGGCGAACCTAATATTTTTATGCAAAATGTAAAGTATATCAGAGAGGCAAAATGGTTTATATCAGAAAGCATGGATCTAATATCGAGGTTTTACAGTCTTAATGAAAGGGTCAAACCAATCTGCGACAATTACCCGACATACAGAAAGCACAAAAATTATAACTAACAATTGTTAGTCACCGATGGAAAACAAACTCAAAGAAAGTAATACAAGTATAAGCCGACTGTTAAACGACCGATCACGACACGCAATGCTCTTTAGAGTAGGTTCGGTTTTTATAAACGGGAAAATCCAACTTTTGACTAATTATTCGATATTTTATTTTGAATTTTCTGATTCCAGGCGGGAACACACCCGGTACATCAGCTTAAGCCATAACAGATTCGTTTAGATGAATAAAATGTGACCACTGATCAGGGTCTCTTCGTCCATAGTTGATACAAACCCATTCACACTTTCATTCACCCTAAAAGATTCTTTCCTATTTACATACCGTTCACTCAGGGTGGCGGAGTACTTGATATCCTCCATCGGCCCTGCTACACATTCACACCAGTAAATACATTCATTCTCAACACATGCTAGGTACCCAAAACTATCTCAGTACAGTAACAAAAGCCCTGTTTTCTCTAAAAATCGGAACAAGGGACCTAGATACCCTCTGCCGTGCTTAAGCACAACTCTCATATACACTCTCTAATAATAAGAATAATAATAATAACAATCTGTATAATTGCAATTACACAAAACAACAGCAACAGCGGTAGCATTCTTAATTACATATATTGATCAAATATTACAGCAACATGTAGAAATACGAGTGATAATGTAACGTTATATGAAAATGAATAATTCAATAAAATAAATTGAGATAAGTTCACACATTAAAGAGGAAAGGAAAGAAAAAGTAGTGCTGACTTAATACTTAACCAATAATTGAACTAGCTACGCAACGCTACTCTACTCGACACTCTGCGATCCCCACCGTCCAAATTTTCGTCTGGTGGCATCGAGTACGGTCGAAGACAAAAGAACCGGATTCTCATATTTTTATTCAAACTACGTGCATTATTGTCGTTATTTTAATTAGAACATACTTATTTTAATAAAAACAAAATTAACAGAGATCAAAAATTCATTAGTTTTCATTAAAAAAATTAATATTAATGGTTTGGTAGAAAATTGTTCAAAACACCTGAATAACATTTTTTGATATAATGAAATTAACCAACAATTTATTACACGGTTTTGCTCATACAGTTACACCATTTTCGTCGAGTAGCGTCGGAACAGGACACCCATATTTTTTGTAGTTTATTTCAAACTATGTATATGTAATTTTGTCGTTATGTTAATTACAACATTCTTATTTTAATACAAACCAAATTAAACGAGATCAAAAATTCATTAGTTTTTATAAAAATTATTTAATTATGATGGTTTGGTAGAAAATTGATCCGGAATAACATTTTTTGATAAAATGAATTTAACTAACAATTTATTACACGATTTTACTTATAAAATTTAAGTAACAGTTTATTTCATGGTTTTGCCCATAAAATTACACCATTTTCGTCGAGTAGCTTCAGAACAGGACACCCATATTTTTTGTAGTTTACTTCAAACTATGTATATGTAATTTGGTCGTTATGTTAATTACAACATTCTTATTTTAATACAAACCAAATTAAACGAGATCAAAAATTCATGAGTTTTTATAAAAATTATTTAATTATGATGGTATGGTAGAAAATTGATCAAAACACCGGAATAACATTTTTTGATATAATGAATTTAACTAACAATTTATTACAGGGTTTTGCTCAAATTAATGCATTAAGAACAAAAGAGGCTCTCTAGATAAAGCTCCAGAGCTCAAGTTGGTCACATTGAGCAACCTCTACATGCCGGACTTGGCATGGGCTTTGACCCAAAAGTGTCAACCTCGCATAGCCTATCCTCAATCGGGTGAATCTGATCCTTTTTTTCCGAGTCAGATCCTCCAAGGGCTACCAATCGACAGTGCTCTTGATATTTTCGTTGAGTTTTTCTGCCGACCCGGCCCACTTATTACGAGTACAAAGGAGGAATTAAAACCGTAGTCCCTTGCCTTACTACAGGGCGCGGCTTGGGAAAGGCGTTAAAAACAGTTCTCCTACATTGAATAAAATTAAAATTAGTTTGGGCTCATTATTATTTAAGTATATCTGTGTATATTGATTTTTAAAAAATAAACCTGTCCCGTGGGACGTTTAGTTATAAACCTTGACTCAGCTGAAAACTGATAAACAGTTGACCTCACAATGCTCCATTCATCTACAAAATCTAAACAAAGCGTTTTGTGTTTATTTAAGGTTTTGAAGAAAAAATAACGAAATATTTTCTGAGTTGATAAAATTTTCGGATGATATCATTCAGAACTTAAATAAGTAAATCAATAAATAAGAATCGTGGGATTGGAAAAGACCAGACTATAAACATGACTCTGATTCATCGCACAATTGTGGGAATGCAGGTGATCAACGGCAGGTTAATAAACAGTTCGACAACTCTTACGGGTGAATCACGAGCTTAATACAGTTGACAATTTCTCGTTTCGTTTTTACGAAGTACGAGGCTAAAATGTGCATTACAGTAATTGTTTAATAACATAAACGATGAAATGAATGTCTAACTAGGGTTTTTCTGACTAAATGTTTTTTTTTTTAAATAAAAATCGTGGAAAGAAAACAGCATACAGTCATAATATGCATTCACAATTACGAATATTCTGAGGAATATGGAATACTAAGGAGGCGTCGGTGGCCGCAACCGTTTAGGCGTTGACACGGCGCTCATCGCTGTAAGGAAAAGGTCCCGGGTTCGAATACGGAGCCCTGCATTTGAACCCGACGTATTTACAAATGGCCTTTTTTTCAAAAACACCGGCACCCCGAGGTTGATATAACCTCTGCTGTTGCGAGAACCCTCTTAAAAAAATTAATGAGAGGAATATCGAGTAGTACACTGGGATAGGGTAAATGTAATTTATTAGCGTGAATGGCAGGGTTTATCCCCAATTACCCTGAGGAATATCGAGTACTCTGGCGTAGTGTGAGTTCTAACCGGGCTTTGGTGTCATTTGAGTTTCTGCGTATTTTGGTTTGTTATTTGTGTAATTTTATTCTTAAAGCCAGAAACACACTTACCCGATGCTACGCTATGCGACGCAACCCGATGCTACCCGACGCAAATCCAAACTCCGATTTTCCATAAGGTTGCATTACCCCCGTGCACATCTACCCGATGCTATGCCACGCTAACCTACCCGACGCTCTGCGATCCCCACTGTCCAGATTTTCGTCGGGTCGCATCGAGTACAGTCGAAGACAAAAGAACCGGACACTCATATTTTTATTCAAACTACATGTATTATTGTCGTTATATTAATTACAACATACTTATTTTAATATAAACCAAATTAACTGTGATTAAAAATTAATTAGTTTTTATTTAAAAAATTAATTTTAATGGTTTGGTAGAAAATTAATCAAAACACCGGAATACGATTTTTTGATATAATGAATTTAACTAACAATTTATTGTACTCGCTTCGGCGGTACATATACTAAAATTGGAACAATTTATTACACGGTTTTGCTCATAAAATTTAATTAACAATTTATTTCATAGTTTTGCTCGTAAAATTACACCATTTTGTAATGTCGGGTAGCATCAGAACAGGACACTCATATTTTTTGTAGTTTATTTCAAACTAAGTACATGTAATTTTGTCGTTATATTAATTACAACATGTTATTTTAATGTAAACCAAATTAAACGAGATCAAAAATGCATAAGTTTTTATAAACATTGTTTAATTAAGATGGTTAGGAGTAACTTTATTTAAAACAATTAAGTTTAACAAACAATTTATTAGATGGTTGTGCTCATAAAATTTAACTAACAATTTATTACAAGGTTTTGCTCAAAATAGTGCATTAAGAACAAAAGATGCGTTACGATTGTGATAGTGATTATTGTGATAAACGCTGTGGACTGTACGCGACGTGTGCTTACGTCGGATAGATGTGCACACCCCACCAAAACGTGGCAAGGCGTCGGGTAGCATCGGGTAGCATCGGGTAAGTGTGTTCCCGGCTTAATTGACGAGGCCCTGAGGTACAGAGGGACTTGCAAAAGGATAAACAAAAGAGAGAGATTGTTATTGTTATGTCGTAAAACATCATAGCTTGGGTGGAGAATTAGTTTAAAAAAATTAGTATGTTTAAAACGCGAAAAAGATAAGAAAAGAGATGCGAAGCTAAAGAAGAAGACTGGCGATGGCCAATTTAAATTTAGCACTAAAGCTAAAAATAAAAATAAATTGGAAAACCTAATTGTGTTGTTTATTATAGGAGATTTGGTAAAATCATAGCATTGATGAGAATTGGCAATTTTTCAGACTTCAAAGGATCTCATACACAGGATTTTTTTTCAGCGCTTTCCCGATTCGAACGATAATTTTCATGCTTAGCTAAGGTTATAAAGGAAAGGCTACATTTCCCTTTTTTCCTTTTAAGTGACATGTTTAGCACTGGTCGCATGAAAAGGCAAGAGCGGATAAATTATAAGTGTGGGGGTTCCCAGGGGCACGAAAGGTTGTATTTTTGAACAAATCACGTCAACTGTCAATTGTAGTGGCCCGGCCAAATTGGCACGTTAAATCGTAGCTTTGCATTAACATTAGCATAAAAACATTACCGGGACAAATGTCAAAAACTGAAAATAATAAAAGTTCACGAGGCTTACCTCTTTTATCGAGCTGGACATTTTGTCCAAAACACCGCCGGCGAAAGTCTCCGACTCCTCGCCGCATGTGGCTCTAACGACGGACTTCGAACAGCTCAAATATTCAGATAGGGAGCTTGAAAAAAAAAAACAAAAAAAATGAAATGACCGACAAGAATATACCGGAAAGATTATTAAAGCCTACCAGCAAATTTTTTGTATGCGTTTATCCCCTTCAGAATAGGTTTCCGACATTGCTCCGTTCACGCTGTCTTGGTAGACTCGAGCGCAATGTTCATATTGGTCAGTCACATTGCTCATGCAAGCAACGTGTTTCAAAAACTCTGAAAAAAAAGAAAACCACATTAATTAAAATTAATTCAAGTAAAATTATTAATAGAATCCCACGTTTTTCGTTCTTCTCGTGTAGAAATGTGTAGTGTTTAGTGACTGTTCGTTAATGATTATTTGGATTTCGTGAGATGCGGTCTGGTGTGACGGAGGGTTTAGAAAAACATTCTGCACTGCAAAAAAATGTTCTCTGATTGATAACCGATGAAACTTTCTTCTCATTGTTGACGATATCCTTCATAATACACTTTGCTTGATAAAGAAAATGTTTTTCTAAAACCTACGTCACACCAGACCGCATCTCACGAAATCCAAATAATCATTAACGAACAGTCACTAAACACTACACATTTCTACACGAGAAGAACAAAAAAGAAAGACAAAAACACCGATGGAGTCTAGGTTATTTAGTTTTATGTATATTAACAGCGTGATAGCGGGTTGTCAATAGCCTAATATCAGAAACCCAGGTGATTACCAAATAGTGTGAATGTATTTATTTGCGTGTGTAGTTAAGTGAGTTTGAGCGTGGTCTGTGAAGAAGAGTACACACAGGCCTGTCGAACCAATTGGTTAACTTAAGATAGTGAATGTACGATTTTGACTATTGGCGTGAATAAAAAATAAGAGCGTCAATGTGAAATTCGGGGAACCGTAGGTTTTGTACATAATAAGGATTCTTTCTATGTAAGGTCTTGGTTGAGATAAAAACTTCAGTGTCACGAGCGGGATTCGAACCCACGACCTTCGGCTAGATACGCCGCTGCTCCACCCTTGAGCTATCGTGACTTCCATCCAAGTCCTTACATAGAAAAAATAATTAATCGAAAGAAATAACTTGTTCAATTAATCAGTAAAACGTAAATGGATTAATATTTAATAAGTAAAAGAAGTATCACTTCACGAAAGAGCTCCCCGTGGCCACTTCATAAGTCCATAAGTTCATAAAATCCAATCCGATTACACGACATTTGAAAATGGCAAAAAGAAGGAAAATTCGAACGGTTGCAGGCTGACTTGGACAGTTGGTGTCCGAGAGGATCGAAGTCACGATAGCTCAAGTGGTAGAGCAGCGGCGTGTCTAACTGGAGACGAAGGTCGTGGGTTCGAATCCCACTCGTGACACCTACTTTTTTATTTCAACCAATACCTTACATAAAGATTAATTAATTGAAATGAAGTTATTTGGTCAATCGGACCACCAACTCTTATGAATTTAATGAGAAGAAACTTGCATCGGCTATCAATCAGAGAACTTTTTTGTTGAAATGCAGACAATACACGGCTCTGAAGATGATCTCAATAAAGATCGAAACGTTGGTACGATAAAGAAAATGTTTTCCTGAAACTTACATCACACCAGACCACATATATATATATTACACAGGGCGGGCGACCAGGACCCGAGGGGTTAAAAGCCTGAGTAGGCCCGTACCCCATCCCTAGAAGGTCCGGGACCTGGTCGGCTCACGAGTCCTGTATAAACCTATTGGACCTATTCACAAACCCCAGGATTGTGGACCATTTTATCCTGGGGAGTGTTTTGGTTATGTCCTCTCCTTCGAAAGTATTAAATCTTTCCCTAGCATACCTATCGCATTCTGCGAGGTAGTGTCGGGCCGTTTCTTCTTTTGTTTCGCAGAAGCGGCAGAAGGGGTCTGGTAGAGTACCCATTATGAAGAGGTGTCTTCTCAAGGGGCAATGGCCCGTTAGGATACCTATCAGCCTCCTTATTCCCCTCCTAGAGTTAGAGAATAGCCATTTCGATTCTTTAGGTTTGATTTCCTTCAGAAACTCCTTCGATTGTCTGCATCCTGGGGACATATTCCATTCCTTTAGGAATTGTTTCATGCCCCAGCTACCTATACTCTCTTTTGCTGTGCTTAAAGAGTGGGGTAATACCGGTTGTGGTCCGACGAACTCAGTATTTGAACCTTCCTTGGCCAGGCTGTCCGCCTCCTCATTGCCATAGTGCCCCTTATGAGCAGGTATCCATATGAGGGTTACCCTATTCTCATACCTGGTGATAGTCCTATTAATGAGTTCAACGGTTTCCTCTACCAGTCTAGATGTTGATAGTTCTTTTTGTAATGATTTTAGACTGGCCTGACTGTCGGAAAAAATTTTAATATCTTTTCCCTTAATCTTGTTGTCCATCAGTGTTCTGCAGCAAACATTAATGGCCCAGACCTCTGCCTGAAAGACCAAGGTATTATTACCAAGAGGAGAGGAGATGCTGATCCCTAATTTAGGAATGTGTATTCCAGCACCACTTAGACCACATCTCACATCTCCAAATAATAAAAATTATTAAATTTATTTGAAGTTTATTTCATTTTGATTTCCTATTTCATTTTTTCTTGGGAACGCCTTTTTTTTTCAACTCCTCTGAGCTCCACCCCAGCCAATTTGGCACTTTTTCAATCTTTTATTCTAAAACTCCATAAACTAGGTAACAATAAATAATGAAAAATGAAAAGAAATAGCGAAATAGGCTGAAGAACTCAGAGAATAAAAGCCTACCTAACGAAATGTGAAATATAATGCCCTGTGAAGTTCAATAAAGCACGGATCCCAAAAGACATTAATTAATTTATCATTGTTAAAAATAAACGCTAATCGATTTTGAATGCAACTTTTTTGCTTACGGTCCGTTGACAACTGGCTCACTCCGGATGAAAGGCAATACAATGTTCAGTTCATTTACAATATAAACAAGACGAAGACGCATAGTAAAAGTCATTACAGAGCATCGGTCTTTCAAGCTAAAGTACATGAAACAGAAAAACATCCTTATAAAATCAGACAGTCAAATGACCCCTAAAAGCATTATTAGGACGGGAAAATATCATATTCAAACAACAAGCGTATCGAAAATCTGGGCAAACCTGACAATATTTATGGCAATTCGGAATTTCATGTTCTTGGTCCTTGTGCTGCCGAGGCTTCCTGGTTATCACACTCTTCTTTAACCTGACAACCTAGGGCTTAGAAGAATACGAAGAGAAAAGCATAAATGAAGTGCCAGACACAGTCATACCTATAAAACTCTTGTCAAATCTTGTGAGATCTGAAAAAACACCTAATCATCTTCGTTAAATTGTATGATGTCCCCATTTGTCATGAGGAGAAAGATATCCCCCCCCCCCCCAATATTATTTTGAAGTGCGAAACATGGAACCCCAATACACTGAAAAGACAATAGCTTAACCTACGAACAAATCAGGCGCCTACTTGGACCTAAACCCCTGTAGCATGACTAAACCAAGCCTTTCAAAGTCATCTGTTGCACCCTCAACGCTCCGTTTTTCGCCACTAACCAAACCAATAAAGACATCTCACTTATGAAGGACCTGAACCGAACAACTCCCATAAGTTCCGCCCAACTAACTAGCACAAGTACTTCAACCTAATCTAACCATCTTCAAAAAATTTAAATCAAGAATGTCAAATATTTTAATTGCTAATGCATTTCGGGCCACGTCCTTGGTCCGTCTTCAGATCTACAGTATTTTATTATAATAAATAAACAATTATTCTTATCAAAAACAGTAAGAAGTTTTTCTTTATGCAATATCTCACTATTTAGCTAAATGAAACTCACCGGTTAGTAAGGTTACAAAGGTAACAAAAAGAAGGAGTTCTCATTACTTATCGTTAGATATCATCAGATGTGACATAAACTGTACAAATCGTTGTAAGTATACCATGAATACATACAGCAAAAATCCGCAGGATTAGGTCAACAACCTTGAATTCATTTGTTCTGTCTTTTGTCTGGGCTCCAGGGTACAGAAGGATAAAGTAGAGTTATTAAATTCACTAGTTTCGTGGTCCGCTTGACCAATTAATATCATACAATTAATTAAGGTTTTTTTTAGTTGAGATAAAAAAGCCAATGGCACGAGCGGGATTCGAACCCACGATCTTCGGCTTGATACACCGCTGCTCTACCACTTGAGCTATCGTGACCTCGATCCACTCGGACACCAACTTCCCATCCCAACGGGATTGACTTTTTGGCCATTGACTTTTTTATCTCAACTAAAAAAACCTTAATTAATTGTATGATATTAATTGGTCAAGCGGACCACGAAACTAGTGAATTTAACAAGTTTAAAATGAAGTATCCTTCACTAAAGCTCTCTGTGGCTATTTCATTTGTCGCCGAGAATCAAATTGATTACACGACATTTGAAAAATGGCAAAAAGGTGGGAAAATTCAAAAGGTGTGGTTGAGATGGGAAGTTGGTGTCCGAGTGGATCGAGGTCACGATAGCTCAAGTGGTAGAGCAGCGGCGTATCAAGCCGAAGATCGTGGGTTCGAATCCCGCTCGTGCCATTGACTTTTTTATCTCAACTAAAAAAACCTTAATTAATTGTATGATGTTAAAGTAGAGGGCCTCGGCAGCACGAGGACCAAGAAGCCTTCTATGAAATTCCGAATTGCCATAAAAAAGGAACAACAAACAAGAAAGCCGAAAGAAAATAGTATCACAAAAGTAAATATACAATAATGGTTGTATATGTTAATAAAAATGCTAAATTTGGATATTGAGCTATAATTGATGCGTTACTACAGTAGATCCATTTTGGTGGACGCAGTGCGACAGACGTTCACCTTTGAAAAAACACACGTAATGACATCAACCTGAGTTACTTTAAAAATTTCATAACGTAGTCTTGGGTGATGTCTCATCTTGGGTGCCAGGGCGTAGAAGAATTTTGGGTAATGGCCAAGCAGACAAACTGGCCAGAGGAGGATCTGCACAGAACCTACAATTGGGATAACAAGATTTTATATCTCAGCCCTCATCTTCTAGCACACCCTTTGCTACACTTCAATTGGGTAAAACACAGAGAAATGGGCTCCACACTGGGTACTGGCATCTGAGAAAATATCTTCACATCTTACGTATATTATACGCTGAACTCCATTCGTAGGGTAGACAACAGGGGAAAATATGAGCAATTCTAATCATTAGAGAAGCAA